ACGCAGGACGAGACGCAGGCTCACGACGCTCGGTAAGACCTCCAGTCGGACCAGCGTAGGGAGAAGGAGCACGCAAAGGGGAGGCACGCTGTAGCTGTGACTGTGACGAGACAGGCTGTGGACCCTCTAAGGGAGGAGGAGGAGGACCAGGAGAAGATGTAAGACCAAGAACCTGCTGCAGGAGCGGAACGAAGTACGGTCGGGGCCGCGCAGCGACGCCAGGAACAGCAGGGACAGCACCAGTATCCCCAGCAGGAGTACCCGCTCCAGCATCACCTCCAGCAGCACCTCCAGTAGCTCCAGAACCTCCAGCAGCACCACCAGGAGCACTGCCAGTCGGACCGTCAGCGGCAGTCTCAGTGCCAACACCCTCAGCAGCACCAGCTCCAGGAGAACCCTCAGACCCAGCAGCTCCAGCACCCACAGTACGAGCACCTCCGGGACGCTCGGCAGCAGTACCCTTTGCAGCCGAAGAACCTCCAGCACCAGCAGCACGCCTCCAGCGCCGGGCAAACCACTCACGCAGCTCCTGTGGGGGGAGTGGCTCTCGACGAGACGAAGCACCTCCAGGCGTAGCACCCCCAGTCTCAGCACCCCCAGGCTCAGCACCCCCAGGCTCAGCACCCCCAGGCTCAGCACCCCCAGGCCCAGCACCCCCAGGCTCAGCACCCCCAGGCCCAGCACCCCCAGGCTCAGCACCCCCAGGCCCAGCACCCCCAGGCTCAGCACCCCTAGACTCAGTACCCCCAGGCTCAGCACCTCCAGACTCCGCACCCCCAGGCTCAGCACCCCCAAGTGTAGCACCTCCAGGCTCAGCACTCCCAGGCTCAGCTCGCGCAGCAGCACCAGAGTCACCAGTGACCTCGACAGGCTCGACTGCGTCTACCTGGGACACACCTGAAGGGGGTCTACCGGGGGGGGACCTGGTACCAAGAAGAGTGGGGGCGGGGGGAGGGACGGAGTGCGGTAGGGGAAGAGGCGGTAGTAGGGTACCGACTCGTCGAATGTGACGTCCTGGGAGGACAGAACACGTCGATAGGTGGGGTGGTAGAACTGCCACCCAGGGGCGTCGGGGGGGAACCCCAGGAAGACGCAAGGAGCAGCGCGAGGGGACAGCTTGTCCGCAGACAAGTCGCGGACAAACGCCCGAGATCCCCAGACCCGGAACGCCGACGCATCGCCAACCTTCCCCGTCCACAGCAGGGCTGGGGAGGTCTCCGGCCTGGAGACCCTGGGGTGGAGGTTGATCTGATGCGCTGCGTACCTGACCGCAAACGGCCACAGAAAATGGGGGGCAGCCGCATGCATCATGGACGTACGAGCGACGTCCATGACCATGCCAATGCGGCGCCCCAATGCCACGTCCCACCCCCCCTCTCCTCCAACCCCCCCCAAACACACACACGCAGTTCACACAAACTGTTGCCATTCACACTTTACACATGGTCCCGCCCGCATGGCCCACCCACCGGAAGTTACTAAAAGTCTCTTTGGTGCACACTCTTCACGTTCTGCATATTTTCGCATCCATCCCTGCTTCCGCTGTATGCTTACTCATTCCACTCGTGCTCTCTTCTCTCCTCTTGTGCTCCCTTGCTCCAGCCATTCTTCCCATCCCGTATACGCTCGCCCATTTCACACGCTCTCCCTTCCCTCAATCCACTTTACAGGCTTACTCTTACCTCCCTAAGTATGCTCATTCTCTCCCCCTCTGCATGCTCACTCTCTCTCCTATCTCTGTGCGCCTGCCACCCACCACCAGCGGTCTCCTTGACCTGTCGAGGTTCACAGGGGACTTGTCCTTCCTTGCAATACTATCCCAATTGGAAAGCCTCCAGGACTTGTAAGCGCCAAAACATAACCCAGCCAGCAGTACAGACAGTTTGTCTTCATGTCGTCTCACACTGTGCTTCCATACACGTTTCTTCCCTCCTTCCTCCCGTGCTCCCGCAACTCACCTGTTGTGCCTGTATTCACATGTGCGCACACCCGGGCGATGGTGGTGGCAGGCTATTGAGTAGCACCCACTCACCCCTTCCCTACCCGTTGTGCTCTCCACTTCTCTTTTGCCTGTCCGCAAGAGAATTATTAGCCTCCCGAATGCAACAGGGGAGATTCCCAGGGAGATCCGATACTTGACTAACCTCACTGCCCCGTAAGCTGCATTGCCCATGACTGCATTGATTGTACCCTTTGGTACGTAACATCTTCTCCCTTCGCTCGCACTACGTACTGTGCACTCTGTTGCCCTCCACATGCCACTCCTTGCACTATGCACTGTGGACTGTGTAGTGTGTAGTATGCACCGCACTATGCACTGTGGACTGTGCACTATGCATGCATGCACTATGCACACGCCACATCTTTCTTCCCCTTGCGTGCAACTTGCCGTGCAGTGACGTGTCATTCCTTCGTGCTTTGGACTTCCCCAAGTGGGTCACTCAGCTCTCCAACCTTCAGTACCTGTGAGCTCCTCCTCCTTGTCCTTCTCCTCCTCCTCCTCCTCCTCCTCCTCCTCCTCCTCCTCCTCCTCCTCCTCCTCCCCCTCCTCCTCCTCCTCCTCCTCCTCCTCCTCCTCTTATTTTCTTCCCTCTTCTTTCCCTCCCTCTCCCCCTGTTACTGCAACTCCCTTGCTCACTCCATCTGAATCTTACCACGAGGAATCAGAATTGACCGAATTACAGCTTCCATAGGGTCTCACTCCCACCCTCCCTTATCAACTGATTATGACACTGTGGCTGTGCATCAGTGCGTGTGAATTGTGTCTGTGCCATGTGCGTGCGCAGAAACACGAAAACTGACGAGTCAAGGCGGCAAGGCATCTTGTCAGAAGGCATGTCAGAGCTCACAGCTCTCACCAGCCTGTGAGTGGAATGGAGCGTGCCTGGCACTTGATTAGAGTCTGGAAACATGATAGACTACTAGAGTGCTGGAGTTGTGAGAGGACCAGGGGGCTCTTAGAGTACTGGAGGGACAACAACCAAGCAGCGTGGAAGGACACAATGTGGATTGTAAAGGCCAGCTTATGCGTGGAACGGATTCTTTTGGCTAGGCTAGTCAGGGCTCATGGGGAAGATTCGTATGAGTGGAACGGATTGTTCTCTTCTCTGTTGAAATGCCCAAATTCATAGCCCAATGCAGCATTTGAAGTTTCATTCCTCACTCAACCTCGCTTCTGCTGTTTAACCATTGGCTGTGCGCGAATGCCAATAGTTGTGGGTACAGATCACTTGCGGGAAACAATCTGGAGGGCGGTCTTTTCAAGAGCTGGTCCACGCTGGTCAATCTGGAAGAGCTGTGAGTCACAGATGCCATGCTGCTGCTGCCATGCTGCCGTACTCAGTCTCTGCCATGCTGCGGTGTTGTGCTGTTGTGCTTGCCTTGTTTTCATGCTACCATACTTCCCTGCTCCCCTCCTCCCGTGCTGCCATACTTGCCATGCCATGCGATTCTGGTCGTTACAGCTTGCCATACACAAGCTGACTGACTTGATTCTTGATGCAATTACTGCCTTTTTGTGACTTGCGTTTTCCCTGGCATACGTGATTGCCCGCCTGAGTGCCTGAGAGCATCCATCTGTCTATCCTCACTTTGCCTCTCCTCTCCCCTACTGGTAGCAATCTGTCCTACAACCACCTCCAGGGCGACATACCTGAAACCTTCTCTGCGCTCACAGCCCTCACTGCACTGTAAGTGCTGCTCTCTTCGTGCATGCTGCTCTGCTCACCTGTTCGCCTCAGGCATGCCACCACATTCACTACTTCAGGTGGTCTATGCTCGGTTGCATTGACTGGCTGGCCGAAAGTGAACTCTCAAAAGCGGCTCCCGTATAGCAAGTCCACGTGGCGCTGAGGTAAATCGGTGCCCCCCAGGAGCTCTGCTCCTCTGCTCAGTTGCCCTGGCCTTCCCCTAAGAGCGTCCTCAGGGGGAGTGGTGTCTTGCTGTAGGTGAACCGCCCGCTCCTTCAGCAGGGAAACGCGATGATCAGGCCCGACAGGTGGCAGCTGGGGGGTGTGTAACATCGTGGCCTGGTTCACTTCCTGAGAGCTCCTCTGGCAAAATTTCTCACCCAACAGGATTTGAGAGCTCCAGTCGAGCTCTTCGGTGCGCCATCATTCTGCCTTACAGCACGGTCAGGCCCGGTGGCAAGGTGTCACCGCCTTTGTGAGGTGGCAGATGGGGGTTGCTGTGTAGAAAGAACCCACGATGTTGTCAGATGGCAGCGGAGGAGGCCACAGCGGACGTGGCGTGTGGTGAGGTTGGTGAATTCCGCCACAGCCACAGCGCGTGGGCCTATGATCCAATGCTGGTAGGGAGTATAAGGCAGCGGCAGTAGGGCGTATGAGAGCGTACGAGGCAGCAGCAGTAGGCCGTATGAAGGCTTAGATAGTTCTGAACGGCTGCTATTTTTGAACATTCTCAAATTATCCCATAGGTGGGGGGTCTACATAGCAGACCCCTGGGGAGGTGTCCCAGTGAATGGAAGGAAGAAGGAAGGAACGATGAGCTTGGAGAGGAGACACAGGGCTAGTTACATCTCTCCCTCGCTCTCTCTCTTTCGCTCTCCCCCCTCCTTCCTCTGTGCTGCCTTTGAGAGCTACTCACTTCTTTCTGTGTTTGTCCTTTGCCTTCATATTCCCTTGCAGAGATCTATCCTGGAATTATCTGTCGGGGGAAATACCCCAAGCATTCGCCAGCAACATTCAAACGTTGTGTGTATCTCCCACTCTTGTCCCATACCTCTGTTAAATCCCTCCTCTCCCCTCCTTTCCAACTCCTCCCACCCTTCCTGTATAGCTGCTCTCGCTCTCACGCTTTCTTGCTTGCTCCATCTTTCGTTGCTCTACTGCATGCATCTACTTGTGATGCCATCTGCAGTCCTTTCGTTCCAGTTGCATCTCCGCATCTCTTCCTGCATGCCTTCATTCGTCCTACTGCACCTTTGCACACCCTAATGCACCCACCTGCTCTCTCTCACTTACCCGCTCGCTCTCACCCACATGCTCGCTCTCACCCACATGCTCGCTCTCACCCACATGCTCGCTCTCACTCACATGCTCGCTCTCACCCACATGCTCGCTCTCACCCACATGCTCGCTCTCACCCACATGCTCGCTCTCACCCACATGCTCGCTCTCACCCACATGCTCGCTCTCACCCACATGCTCGCTCTCACCCACATGCTCGCTCTCACCCACATGCTCGCTCTCACCCACATGCTCGCTCTCACCCACATGCTCGCTCTCACCCACATGCTCGCTCTCACCCACATGCTCGCTCTCACCCACATGCTCGCTCTCACCCACATGCTCGCTCTCACCCACATGCTCGCTCTCACCCACCTGCTCGCTCTCACCCATCTGCTCGCTCCCCACCCACCTGCTCGCTCTTCATGCAGGTACCTATGCTACAATACATTTGACGGTCGCATCCCACCACACCTCGCCTTGCCCAGCCTCATAGATATGTGAGTGCTGTCACATCCCTGCCACATCCCTGCCACATGACTCCACCCCCCTGCCCCACTCGCCACACTCCCTGTATCCACGGATGTTGGGATGCTCCAAAGGAGCTCACCATGTGTCATGCTGTGAGATCCTGTTCATCTTCATTAGTAACCCTCTCTTCATCCCCTCTTCGTCCTCTTTTTTTCCTGTCTCCATCCCCTCTACGTCCTGTTTTTATCCTCGCGCTTTTTGTTTTATTTTAATTAATTACTGTCTTCTTTTTTATCATTATTATATGCAATTTTGTACCCTCCTTTCTCTTCGTCCCCTCTTTATCCCTCGTCGATGGAACGCTTCATCCGTTTGCCTTCCGCACAGGGCTCTGAGCGACAATTTCTTCACAGGAGCCATTCCCTCCACCTTCACACGCCTCACCAGCGTCAGTACTCTGTGCGTCCTCTGTCTGTCTATGCATCCGCTGCCTGTCTGTGCGTCCTCTGCCTGTCTGTGCGTCATCTCCTCTGCCTGTCTACACAGCGAATGGCATGCCTCTCCCCTATAGATTTGCCGGATTGCATGGCCATTGGCCATATTATTGCTCCATCCTTTGTTGGCTCAGCGATCCAGAAGATTTCAAGAGATTCAGAGGTCATATCCCCATCTAGAATATTCCCCTTCAAATGGTGTTCCATGGGAGAGCGTTTGTTGTATCTCTGTGTCGCGTTTTTTGGTTTCACACATCACCATCTCAAAACCTTGTTTTTCTCGTCAACCTTCAACAACCCATGCCCCACTTGTCCTCACCACACCACCACACTACGCGTTCCACAACCCATGCCACACTCCTCGTTACACCTCACTGTACCGCAATTCACAACATTGCACCATACCACGCCACCTCCAATACCCAGGTCTTTGACCAACAACAGTCTCAGCGAAGGACTGGAAGTGCTCGCTCAAATGACATGGCTTACAGACATGTGAGTGTCCTGTGTGCCCACAGTTCAGTGTTCTTTTCTTTCTCCTCATTGCTCATCATGCCGGCCATGTGCCTTGCTCCTCTGCTCACACCTTATTGCTTTCACCCCTTCGTTTCATCCCTACGCCATCCAAACCACGCCCTCCTGCCCAAGTCGTGCAACACAGACTCCTCGACAGTAACAACTTCTCGGGTGTTTTTCCAATGTCCTTCACGGCTTTTGAAAACCTCTTATACGTGTGAGGCTTTCCCTTCCTGTCCATCTGTGTGCTGCCCCTCGTGTGCGTTGTTCGTTGTCTTTGCTGCGTCTCGGTTTTGCAGCTCTTGTGTGCTGGTCGTCATATGCTGCTATCTGTGTATGCTGTCGTGGGTGCTGCTCTTTATGTCTGCTGATCTTTGCATGAGCAGCTCGGTGTGCGTGCTCCTTCTCGTGTGTGCTACTCGTTCTGTGTGCTGCTCTTTGTGTGTGCTGCTGCTCTGTGTGTGTTCTACTCTTCCTGTGCACACATGCGTGCATTTCCAATCAACCATCTTCACAAGAATGGTACCATCCATCCATCCACCCTTTGCAGAGAAATCGGCAACAACCGTTTCTCTGGGCCCTTTCCTGAATCTCTTCTAGCCCATAAGGGACTTCAAGTGTTGTAAGCCAGTCATGATCTACAGTCCTATAAGTCATTATCCTATGCCCGTACAAGTTTTGGAGCCATTGTTTCATTTTCTTCCTACGCAAAAGTGCATGCTTGCTTCTCTTATGGACTTATCTCTATGTTTTGGCACGGCAATGGCAGAAGCTTGAGGAACAACAGTTTCGCGGGTTCCATTCCCCAGCAGCTGACAGAGCTTGTTAATTTAGCATTCATGTGAGTTATGGCACACCTGTGCGTGATGGGGATGCGAGCCCGTTATGCAATTGGGTTGCTCGCATGTTCTATTTCACGGACAGTGGAACCTGTTAGTTGACGTTTAACAAAGTTGTTCCACCACACTTGAGTCCCATCAGTGACATCACTTATCCGTAGATGCCTGTGGCTTTGGACACGCCAAGTACTAAATTCATTTTTTTTTCCATGAAGGCATAATGTTCACAAAATAAAAAGAATCATGCATATTGCAGTGACTTTTATGTTGACTTTTCTTCCCACTTTCCATGCAAGCACATAGTGAGTCCCATGCCTGCTTGCTTGTGGGTGGCCAGTGCAGCTCGTTTTGCACTGGGGAACTATGTTGTGAACTGTGCCTGGCCCAGCCCTGTGTGGTGTGGCTGCATTCACCTCCTATATCACACTTTCTCCCCCCATTCTACCTCTCATCGTTTTGCCTCCCCATCTCCTTCCCAGCGATTTGGCGGACAATAATTTCCATGGGTCGATTCCACCTGAACTGTTTCAACTGCCTCAGCTGTTATCACTGTGAGTTTCCCTAGGAAGCCACACAGCTCACATGGCCCTCCCCCCTTTTTCTCTCACTCCCGACCATCTCTTTCTTTAGATTTCCTCTCTCTCGTTCGTCTCCCTCCCTCATTAATCTTTCCTCACTCTCCTCTCCCTTTGTCGTCTCTCTCCTTCCCGCGTACACTTCTCTCACTCCCTGCATCTCCCCGCTTTTTTTGCTTTCCTTCTTCCCCAACCAGATGTGGATGTCGTGGGAGAGAGGCAACTGTGGAAGTTCCTCCTCCTAAATCCTATATGCATACCCATCTTCCTTTCCCTCCCTCCTCCCCCCCTCCCTCCCCCCTTTTTCCCCTCTCCCCGCCTACCTCCTCTCCCCTCTCCCATGCTGCCTTGCTGTAGGCAACTGGGGAACAACTTATTTTCAGGTGTTCTTCCAGTGCCACTTGTCGCGTCAACCACTCTTGAACTTCCGTGAAAACTGTGACGTGCTCTCAACCCTTTCACGAATGTGCGGTGTACCCCATCCAAGCTAAGTGCCAGGTCCATGCCGTGCTTGTTTTCCCCTCCACGTTGAGGTATGGTTGGGAGCCATGCCAAGTTCTGTGCCTCTGCATTGCTTACACCCATCCAAACCACCTGCTCATTCTGTAGTCTTGTGTGCTCGGCCCCTTTCAGTGGTTTGCCCCTATTAAGCTCCACCCCTCTTGTTCTCTGCCATTTTAATCTCTGCTGTCCGTTGCATCGTAGTGCTCTAGAGGGGAACGGCCTTACAGGCACCTTGCCGGACTTTGCTCGCTGGAATGTCAGCATCAGGAGCCTGACGTCAGCCTCTTTTTCTCTCTTTCTCGAATGATCCGTTGTAATTATGCCGTGGCAAGTACATGCAATGCAAAGCAGTGCACCCTTAACTATACGCTACTAGTCAACCCTGAGCATCGGTTCAAAGCACAAGCCAACCGCTCTGGTCATCAGCTTGGCTCGTCACCATGCTGAGCCGACGATTTCATTTGGCCAAATCTGGAGCCTCCGGCTCAACTCGTCCACAAGCCAGCTCAGCTCAGACCACGCCTGACAGGCTTGGAATAGGGCTCATGCGTATCAAATACCTCTGACCTCCCTCTGGGGCTGAAGTGGGAATTTCTGAGGTGAAACAGGTAACCTTCCAGCAATAGCTCTGCCAGATTGGTGGCTATGGCTAAGTGTGTCTTGCAGTGCAAGGCATTGGCATGAGCCGTCTGGGAGGTAATGGTCATGTCCTGGCAGAGCATGTGAAAGAGTTTTGCTGCCTTAACAAAGGTGAAGCTGGTTCGGAAGCGTTTCAAGGGGGCGAATGGGGCACTTGTCCGGAGGTCATCAAACACCACGAGCGATCTGCCGCCGTAGTAAACAAAGCTTAGCAATCTGCTGCCGCCATAAAAGAAGAAGCTGGGACTGCATCCAGAAAGGAAGAGTGAGGGTGAGTGTGTAGTATTTAGGGAATGGGGTAGACGTTTGTAAGGAGAGTGGCACGAAGGAGAGTTTGTCTCCAGAGAGATGGAGAGGTGGAGGCATGAGTGAAGAGACGACAATCAATCTCCATGATCTGACAAATGCGAATTTCACCAACGTCATTCTACTGCAGAGTGGAAAAAGGTGTAGGCTTGCCGAGTGACAATTTTCTCATAGTGGGAGGCAAGGGTATGGCTGAGGAATTTACCACCGCCTTCCGAAGGAAGCCGGCAAATTGGTTCAAGTAAACGTGTGCCTGAGCCCAGGCGAGGATGACAACAGGCGGTTTGGATTAGTTGAGGATAGGTAAACCTGATGAATAGGGACTCAATGGTCGTCAATAAGAACAAGCCCGAAGCGATGACTCAATGGTTCTTGTGGACAAGGTCGAGTAGGCTAATTAGAGCACGAAGTTTGAAATGCAGAACCCGTTTTTTAATAGGAGGAATGCCATCAATGTTCGTGCCCCGCATAATCTAACAACCATTGCATTGCACGTGTGTTTTTCAGGGCTCTCAGCAACAACAACTTCACTGGATCTATTCTCAATTCCATTTCCACACTTACTAATCTCGATTCAATGTAATCTTATGCACTCACATTGCGTTCATCATCAGTGTTTGTAGCATGATCCTCGCATGGTGTAGGAATCTGCCAAGGATTCGTTTGCCAATATGCCATCGTGTGGGTTTCGCTATGTGATAAAACATTGCCATACAACAGGAGCTAATACTAGCAGCATGTGTGCGCATTGCACTCTGAGTCTCTACTACATGCCGCGTTTTAGCGTCACACCTCATGTCATGCCTTGCTTGCCCATACAGCATCCTCAACAACAACCAGCTCTCGGGCTCCATACCAACTTCCATCTTCAACATGACCAACCTCAGGTTCCTGTGAGTGTCAACTCCCTGTCATCATCAACTATTAATCACTGCCTTGGGTGTTGGTCATCATACACAATACACACCCGGTACCCGCGTCGCACACTTGCACTCTCGTGTTCTCTCACTTACACTGATGCAATATACCTGCTTCTCTTTCTGACCCTATTCTTCTCCCTCGCATCCACCGTTTTCCCCCATGATGCCTCGCCATTTTCCCACACACCACGCGTCCCTTACAAATGACTTCCTCGTTTACATGTTTGTGTGGCGGCCCCCTCTTGCAGCTATTTGGCCAACAGCCATCTGAGCGGCAGTCTGCCATCTGACATCAGCCGACTGGAGAAGCTGGAGCAACTGTGAGACACCTCTCCTCCTCTGCTTCCCACCCCCGTCCCTCCGTGTTTCCTCCATCCGTACAACCTGAGTGCCTGAGTCCCTCGCTCTGTCAATTCATCCATGCTTTCATGCAGGCACCCAGAGCCTCTCTTGCTACACCCACACCACATGTGCCATATTCGGTCCCTGCCTGCCACCCCACAGCTGGCTGGACAACAACAACATTGAGGGCCCTCTGCCAAGTGCCATCTGCTCAATTCCCTGGCTGTGGCGCATGTGAGTGGCTGTGGCGCATGTGAATGGCTGTGGCGCATGTGAGTGGCTGTGGCGCATGTGAGTGGCTGTGGCGCATGTGAGTGGCTGTGGCGCATGTGAGTGGTTGTGGCGCATGTGAGTGGCTGTGGCGCATGTGAGTGGCTATGGCGCATGTGAGTGGCTGTGGCGCATGTGAGTGGCTGTAGCACATGTGAGTGGCTAT